AAGTTTGGTATCAATATCATTATCCAAACGGCCAGGAGAGCTAAATGTCGAAGTGGCTAGATAGATAGATAGATAGATAGATAGATAGATAGATAGATAGATAGATAGACAAATAGATAGATAGATAGATAGATAGACAAATAGATAGATAGATAGATAGATAGACAGATAGATAGATAGATAGATAGATAGATAGATAGAAGATAGATAGATAGATAGATAGATAGATAGATAGATAGATAGATAGATAGATAGATAGATAGATAGATAGATGCGCTCAAAGTCGCCGACGTTCGCTATGGAATGCTTCGCATTTAAAACATATTTGAGTAGTGACAACTTGAAAATCATGACATGTATGTCATAATTCTCAAGATATAAATTTCATAGTCCTGCAGATTTTGCGCTGGTTTAGTTCACATGGAATGTTGAAACTGGTATGGTATGGCATGATTGCATGGCGAATAGAAGCGACAGACCGTATTATGCAAATGATGACATGCGTACCACGTAACAACATGACTACATGCCACGCTCATGATGCGGTCGCGGCCGTTTCGCTAGCATCACATATACCAAATTCGGTATTATACTACGTGAATAAATGACGAAGGTATGTGACTGATTATTTGATTGATTGATTAAAACTTTATTTTTGTCCTGAGAAGACGCAGGGGAGACCCCACGCCACCCGGCTAATCCCTCGTAGGGACCGTCAAGCCGAGCTTGGCGGCCCGTTCACGGGCACTCTGGACGGCCAAGGTTTGATCCTTAAGTTCGGGGCTGCGTAAAAGCGCAGCCCAGCCCCGCCACGGTGGTCTAGTGGCTAAGGTACTCGGCTGCTGACCCGCAGTGCGCGGGTTCGAATCCCGGCTGCGGCGGCTGCATTTCCGATGGAGGCGGAAATGTTGTAGGCCCGTGTGCTCAGATTTGGGTGCACGTTAAAGAACCCCAGGTGGTCTAAATTTCCGGAGCCCTCCACTACGGCGTCTCTCATAATCATATAGTGGTTTTGGGACGTTAAACCCTACATATCAATCAATCAATCAATCAAAAGCGCAGCCCACCTGTCTTCGCTGAGGGCGGGGCCGATCCGCACTTGGATACCGTTCAGGGTAGTTGGCATGAAGAACCGCAGGGTTAAGATACGCACTGGCTTGCAATAGTCTTAGTGTGACTGCCTGCGCCCTGCACAAGGCCGGGTGTGGGAGAGGGGATACCCTTCTTGACAGATAGAAGGGCTTTGTTATTTCGTTGAACGTAAGTAAGGGTTCCCAGCGAGGCAGAGGGACTGTGGAGGCGGCGCGATCAGTGAGTCCTCACGCGGCCTCGTGTGCGCCCTCGTTCGGGTTAGAGGTAGAGCCCTCAATCGACCTCGGGTGAGCTGGAAACAAAGTGAGAGAATGAGGCGTAATACTCTTGACGCTTTGGAGAATGCGGAGGGCCTGAGGGGCTACCATACCAGTTTCATACGCTTTAATAACCGCCTTGGAGTCGCTGTATATTGACTCTCTGCGACTATCTAGCATAGCCAGCGCGATTGCAACCTGTTCGGCTATCACGGGCTTCGATGTGCGTGCTGTGGCCGAGCAAGTGAGCCAGGAATTTGAGTCGACGATGGAAACAGCGAATGCCTCTTGTTGGACGAAGGTCGCATCATCCACAAAGCTTGCATCAGTGGGGTTGCTACGGACGTGCTCCAGCAGAGCTCTACTCCTGGCCCTACGCCGACCGACGTTGTGCGAAGGGTGCATATTGCGGGGAATGGGTGCGATGCGCAGTTGAGACCTGATGATTCTGGGAATCTGCATGGAATCGGGGCACTGGTCAATAGAGTTGAGGCCCAAATCATCGAGTATCTTGCGGCCCAAATTGGTTCCAGAAAGCCTGAGTGACTGTGAGTGCTCTTGCGCCTCGATTATCTCTTTGAGTGTGTTGTGAACACTGAGCTTGAAAAGGTTTTCAGTGCGAGTGCTTACAGGCAAGCCGAGCGCGAGCTTGGAGACCTTTCTTATGACCGATTTCAGCTTACTTCTCTCTGCAACATGCAAATTATACATGGCCGCTTAGTACGAAAGGTTTCAGAGCACAAACACATGTATGACGTGAATGAGATAGTCTTACTTGATTCCCCGGTGTCTGTTGGTGATCCTCCGGATGAGGCCGAGAGCACTTTGCGTCTTGGTAGTTATCTGTCTGAGTGCAGCTCTGTTAGCGCTGTTGGACTCGATATACATTCCCAATATTTGGAGCCAATCCACTCTGGGCGCTGGGGACCCGTCACCAGTGAAAAGCCGTATTTCACTTTGAGACGCAGGTTTCCGGTCATGGTGGCTGCCGCCTCGGGGTCTTTTCTTGTAGAGCAGAAGTTAAGATAAGATGTCGATGGGGAGCACCTGAGACTGGTTGGACGGAGGAAGCGTTCAGTCACGTCGATTGCGCGTTGCGTGGCTTCCTGAACTTGACCATCGCTCCCGCCGATGCTCCAGATGGTTTTATCATTTGCGTATATGGTATGATTGATTCCTTAAATCTTCACGAGTTTCTTGGAGAGCCCGATAATCACGATGTTAAATAGTGTTGGTGAAATAACTGAGCCCTGAATCGTGCCGCGTGAACTGAGGTTGATCTCTCGTGAGAAGTACCCTTCGATCTTGAGCTTGGTAGTTCTCTGGTAAAGAAAGGATCTCACGAAGTCGTAGACCCTCTTCCCTAGCCCTAGGCTGGCAATAGACTGCAGAATAATTCGTGAGAAACGTTGTCGAAAACCTTCTCCAGGTGTAATCTAAGGATGACTGGTATCTCCTGAGCTCTGGTCGATGATCTGATGCTTTATAAGCTTCATGGCATCTTGTGTCGAGAGAACGGCTCTGAAACTAATCAGATTTCGGGTGTACATGTCATTAGTCTCGAGGTGCACCTTGAGTCAGTTCAGAAGGGCGTGCTCTGTGACCTTACTGACACAGGAAGTTAAGGAAATTGGTCCTAAATTATCTATTCCTGGGGCTTTACCTGGTCTCGGGATTAGAACTGTGTAGGCCGTCTTCCATTGCGCGTGCACCTCCCCACTGCGCCACACCTCATTATTCTTTTCCGTAAGGAATTCGATGGAGGCACCATCAAGGTTCTTGAGCATCGTATTGGTTATGCCATCCGGGCCATGAGGGGGATTTGGCATTTAGGGAAAATGGAGCCTACTCTATCTCGGCCACAGCATGGTTCTGGTCCAACTCCGGCACGTCGCACCCCGCGTAGTCTTGAAACTGTGTGAGTGCAGAGCTATCCGCGACTCTCAGATACCTGTCTATAAGCTTGTTGACAACCAATTCATCCGGGGTAGAGTGAGTAGCAAGATGGGTGGCTCGCGCAAGGGATCACCTCTGGCTGGACCTGGTGCTGCCTTGATCGAAAAGGTGTTTGAGAAGACCCCAGCTCTTCCCAGATCTGAGATGACCCTCGATGCTCTCGCAGAGCTCATGCCATAGTTGTTTACACAAGGTTTTGCAGTGCTCCTCGATCGCCCTGTTAACTTCGGAAACCTTCTTGCGGAGCCTCCTGTTATGCTTGTGTCCCTTCCACCTCGTGAGTAGGGCTTGCTTGGCTTCTAGTAGGTGTGCCAACCTGCTGTCCATGGTTTCAACATCGAGGTCAGTGACGACCTCCCTGGTCGCTGCCGTGGCGTTATCTCTGATTCCTTTGTACCATCCTTTAAAGTCTGTCCCAGCTGTTGGTTCTCTCTCAGCTCTGACTTCGCGAAAAGCGTCCCAGTCGACCACTTTGAATTTTTTTCGTCCTAGAGCGGGAAATCGCGAAGGATATCTGGATGACGTAGTGGTCACTTCCAAGGTCTAGAGCCGTGTTTACCCCACTTGACCCAACCTATATTCTTCACAAAAGTCAGGTCCGGGGTGGTATCCCGACAAGTGGAGTTACCTCTCCTAGTGGGGAAATCCTTGTCAGTGATAAGCGTCAAGTCGACTTCTGTCGCAGTCTGCGATAGCTCGCGTCCCTTGGGTGTATCATACATGTATCCCCACACGCTGTGTGGGCCGTTCAAATCACCTACGACTACAAGGGGGTACTACTGGCCATGCTCGCAGCCCTTTTGTGGAGAGAGTTCGCTCTCGCCCTGCGATGACTGAGACTGCAATATACGTTGAGAATAAAAAGGCTATTTCTTCGAAGACCCTTCTTGCGTGAGTTCATTCTAATTTCAGTCATTACGTACTCAATGCCATCGGCAATTGCAAAATCCCCTACCTCCTGAATGTGATGACGCTACTAGGTAATCCGGCAGTTTGATGGGGCTGCCAGACGCAACTTCCTGAACAGCGATCATTAGGGGCTTAGCTCATGAAGAGTTCCTAAATATTGCTGTAGAATGGGTTTTTGTGAGTAAACCCACCACGGTTTCATTGCCAGATACTGAAGTTTTCGTCCACACTATCCATGTTTAGGCTGAGGGGATGATTGAGCAGCTATAGTGGCCCGGAGGATTGCGCCCTCAGTCGGTGGCGCTAGTATATTGCGTTGTGCTGGAACCTGCAAGGGAGTCAGACCGGGGTCTCTCCTCCCATCGACCACTTCTAACTTGCTTATGCGTTTACTTAGTGCTACTAATCCCATCTTGGGGTGTGCCACGGCTTCTTGAATTTTCGCTAAGGTAGCCTGCATGTTCACAAAGGAAACCTTCTGTAACGACAGTAAGTTTACCGCCTCTTCTTCTTGTGTGCTCTCAACCGCTCGGTGCTTGGTTCCGCTAGGCCTGTGAAGTGCCTCAGACGTATTTATGGTGACCGGGGTTGGGGCGGGCTATGCCGAAGGGCGCGAGGACGCAAGCTTTTAATCTCTGCCATCTCTGCTGCTAGCCTCCTCATTTCTTGCTTAAGCTGCGCGTTTTCTTTCCTCAGATGCTCGTTAGCTCGTCGCATCTCTTCGAGCTCACTCGCGTGGGGAGAACCGCGATTCTATTCGTCGCCTCTAGGAGACTCACGTCTTCCTCAGGCCTTGTTGGCCCAGGAGGACGTAGGCTTCTTGCTGTTAGAGGTGGTGGGCGTGCGGGAGTGGGACCTGGTCGGCCCCGACAAAACGTGCCCCGGCCTTGAGTTGGAGCCAGGCTGAGAAATGGAACTTCCCCGGGCACATTCTGTCGACCTGGAGCGCGAGCCGGAACATCCCTTGGAGGCACCAGGGTGCCTGGATCTGATGCGGCCTCCCGAGCATCCCCTGGAACGGGGGCGTCCTCTGCGCTGAGCATCCGTGGTGGGTGACGAAGACTGGAACTCGTCCGCAGTGTCGAGGTGACGTCGCGGGGACGGTGACGCAGCACCAGCCATTCTGGCACGCTCACTGCGATGACGGCGCACAATGTACGGGATCTTGAACCTTTGAGCACAGTCTTTGCTAGCCGTGAGATGCTGGCCACCACAGTGTTTGCACTTGGAAGTACACACATGATGCTTGTTGGGGCTTGCGGCACCACAGCCTCAGCAAATCGTGTCACCGGGAGTGGGGCACACGTGAGCGCGATGACCAAGGCGGCCGCACGCATAACACACGTGAATTTGCCTTGCGGTAGAGTGAGCGCTGCATTAGCACTGGTCCATACCTGACTAAGTTCGGTACACGATACCCGTCGAAAGCGATGATGACCGTGCCATTTTGGGCTATTCTCATGGCTGCTAAGCCGAGTGGATTATTTGTGTTGACAATCTTCGCATCGATGACGTGAGGGCCGTCTTGAAGTGGGACGTTGCAAATCACCTCTTTGCAAGAGGAGTGTGGGGCAGTCTCATAGGCACTTAGCTCATGCACCAAGCCTGAAATGAGTATTTGCTTCATCCGAGCGTATCGGTCTGCGTTTTTGCGCTTGGGAGTACTAGCAACCATAATATTTTGCTGCAGATTCGGGCAAAGAGTATCCTGGCACAAATCTTCCTGGCTTATGCCAGCGGCAACAGGTATTGCGTCTGCCACTGTAGCTGCGCCAATTTTTGAGATATTGGGTCCACCTCTCGGCCGGATCACAATCTTGATGTCATCTTGAGGAAGGGAGGGCATCTTTGTCGCCCGTATTACTTTGGACTTCAGCGCAGCGCCACTCGATTCGCCTAGGCTTGCGCCATGCTGCGACAATGGCGCGTTAGAGTCAACAGTGCGTGTTTTGGCGCCAGCTCTTTTAGCCACAGCGAACTGCCAACCTTTATCTTGAGTAAACTCTTTTTCTGAAATATCCTCTCCGTGCACTTCATACTCCATTGTGAACAAATAATTCAGCGCACCGGGCCTCCGAAGGGCCAGCCGCAGGTGAGAATAAGCCCAGCAAAAGCGCGGTCTCCAAACCACTCGTTAGGGTTAAAGAGGGCACCGCTCCAGAGGAAAAGAAAATGTTCCTAAATTGACAAAAACTCACTCACTGTGGTCAAATATGGTATTGGTAGAATCCTGATGACTTCTCGGAATTGATGCGAGCAACAGTTCTTCAACACTTGAAAAAAAATCTATAGAAACACAGATTTAGTTTCGTGTCCACCAGAGCCGTATGAACGCAGCCTCCCATTCCCTGTCTCTCAGGTATGTGACTGGTGTAAACATGATAATCATGTTATGCATGTCATGTAACAATGTGACTACGTGCCACGCTCATGATGCGCTGGTGGCTGTTTCTCTAGTTTCACTTGTACCAAATTTTGTATTACGGGACATAAATAGATCAGGAAAATATGATACTGGTGTAAACATGATAAACATGACGTGCCTGTAATGTAACAACATCACTACGTGCTACGCTCATAAAGCACTCGCGGCCATTTCGCCAGCTTCACGTGTACCAAACTCGGTATTACGTGACACAAATGGACGACGTAGGTAAGTGACACATCAAAACATAGTAGTCATGACATGCGTGTCATGTAACAATCTGACCACAAGCGACATTGATGATTTGCTCGCGGCAGTTTCAATAGCTTCACTTATGCCAAATTTGGTATTACGTCACGTGAATGGATGATGAAGGTATATGACTGGTGCAAACATGATAAAAATGAGATTCTTGTCATGTGTGATCATGACTACATACATTTCGACGTGACGCGGTGCGCGTGCTCGCCGGCGTTCATTTCGTTGCGTTACGTGAGCGTGGCCACGCCAGGCGCCGGTCCTGCCGTATACCCGCAAGCACACACTGTGCTGCATTTCTTTGATGCGTGCGCGTTGCAGCGCGTCCGGCCTATCTCCGTCGCGAAAAAAGGGAGACGCAGTGTTGGCTGGATAACACACCGGCGCGAAATGCCGCATGTCGTGTTTCGCGCTGGTTGCCGTAGGGTCACGCCTGGCGTCACATTATAGAGTGCTCGCGTTTTGCTAACGTAGCGTCAATGTGCCCAGAGTTCGCGCACATCAACGCTACATTAGAGGCCCTTCATCATATATTTTCCTAAAATGAACTATAGGGGACTCTGTCGCTGTGATCGTTAAGCGACCATGGGATTGATGGGTAAGTACAGCCATATGCCTAGTCTTCGTACTTGCGGGTGGCGAATTGTATTTGCGGCATTGTTTATTGGTGTGTTTTGATTTTGTTTTGAAAAATGTTCAATCCTTTTGAACTTCATGACCCGATTCGGAAAGGTAAGTCTAAAAGAATAAGGTGCGGAAGCGCAACCGCTGAACATTTGCTGATTTTTGTTACGTGAGAAAACAGATCCAAGCCACACGAATACACATGGAGCCAAAAGCAGGCTATAAGTACGAAGATTAGACAAATGTGTGTACTACCCATCATTTCCATGCTCGCTGAAGCGCCGTGCGTTGCAACTCCCATAGACAGTAGTGCGATAGTTCCCTCTACTGTGTATGAGGAAACTATGCCCTTAATAATGCGCTGGCGGCCATTTCGCTAGTTTCGCATATACCAAATTCAATGTTACGTGACGTGAATGGATGACGAAATATATGACTGGAGCAAACATGATAATGCTGACACGCGTGTCATGTAAGAACATGAGCCCGCAGCTGTTTTGCTATCTCCACATATACTATATTTGGTATAACGTGACGTGAATAGATGACGAAGATAAACAATACATCCAGACACGATAATCGTGAATTGGAAGTCATGTATGGCATCATTTATGATGACGATGTTAATTATAGATTTTAGTGGTGCTAGGGCAACTCAGGCCAAAGAGCGCCGAAACACACGGTTTTTTGTCGATTTGATTACATAAAGCCTACTCAGCGTGGCAACAATATAAGTGTGGTGCATAGGGCTTAAACTTAGGTGTAGTTATTATGTGTAATGATTTGAACCGGATTGAACTTATGGGTTTTACAAAGTCATGCAGTGTCAGCAACAGTCCTTCTCAGAACAAGGAGTGCGTGCTGCATGACGTTTGATCAAAAAGTCTCACCAGTTTTCTCGGGATGTGTAGAACGCTGAGATTAGTGAGAATATAATATGGAATGTAAGAAGCCTACACTAGCTGAGAAATTTAAAACCACTTTTGGGGAAAATAAAGGATCGTCTCTAAGAAAAAATTGCTGGTGAGGTGGAATGTGGCATTTGTACAGCTTTGGGAAGTGACGCCGTCTTTCTGGTTTATAGTTCGCACAGATAATCAGAACACGAACAACAGACAGTGCATCACCACAGTTAGCACAATGTGGTGCTGGAGAGTTGTTTAAAAGGTGCGAGTGTGTTGCATGTGTATGACCGATCCTAAGTCTGCACATTGCAACCTCTTGGGGCCTGTTACGTTTTTCAGTCATATATCTTTCTATTTTTGGCTTTACTAGGTGCAGTTTGTTTGCATTTGCTGCGTTCCATTCCTTTTGCCATTGTCTACGCATTCGGGTTTTGATGAGTGGCCTCAGGTTCTCATACGGGACGATGTCTACGTCAACTGATGGGTGGAGTACAGCTGACTTCGCAAGTCGGTCCGCTATCTTATTGCCAGCTATGTTGCAGTGTCCTGGAATCCAGCATAGCGTGATATTGAGCTTAGATTTGTGGGCTGACATGATGCACTTTAGAAGAGTTTAGAAGTAACTAGGTTTTTGAGTACCTTAGTGGAGGACAGCACAGTCTCTGCACCGAGAGAATCTGTGCAAATGATTGGAGCTGGTTCTTTCTCCTTTAAAATGTGCCTTACAGCCAAAAATATGCCATATCGTTCTGTAGTAAATATGCTGGTATGTTAATGCAATGTTCTAGATTCAGAGAATGCGGGACCATGTGCCACGCCGCGACTTCAGAGGACTTGGATGCATCAGTATAACACTCAGCACACTTGTATTTGGCCTGCAAGTGCATGAAGTGTTGATCGATTGTGCCTAGAAGGCCCTGATTTCCTACCTCTAAGAATGCAAAGTCTCAATTATTAGCCGCTATTTCTCACGGCACCACAGTGTCCTCGTGAGAGCTTAGTTGAAGATTGGAGACCGGTATGTGCAGATTTTCAAAGTGTGAGGCCATTCTGAGGGGATACGGTGGCGTAACTGATGGTCGCCTCAAAAACAGGTGGGCAGTGAATGTATCTTGCAATAGCGCACGAGCTGGGTGGTCGACATGGAAGATCACCTGTGTGGAATACGTGACACTTTTGCACTGACGGCGCCGTTCTAGTGACCACCGTTCTTTCTCAACATACAGGCTGGCTGTTGGGCTGGTTCGAAAAGCACTGCTGGCCAGCCGAAGCCCAAGGTGGTGCACTGGGTCAAGCGTCTTCAATGCAGATCTTGATGCTGACTCGTAAATCACCGAGCCATAATCAATACGTGTTAGCACTACACTGTTGAAAAGGTTCAGGAGACAGTCGTGGTCTGTGCCCCATGACTGATGCGGGAGAATCTTCAGCTGGTTTAAAACTTTCAAGCATTTAGGTCGCAGCGGTTTGATATGTGTAACAGAGCCGAACTTTTCAAAACACCTAGAAATCTGTGATCTTTTTAGTAGCTATGGTTTGTCCAATCATTGAAATGTAGGGGGATTGCCTTATGCCACGTAGTTTTGTAAAGAGTAAGAAAGCAGTCTTGTCACAGTTAAACTTAAAATTATTTTTGTCTGCCCAGCTTGAGAGCTTGTATACTGCCAACTGAATCTGACGTACAAAAAAGGGGTACCTGAAAATACCAGGAATTTAGAATCTCGCTTCAGAATAGGTACTCGGCTCTTATTGAGCAAACCAACCTTAGCGTAGATAAAATAAGCGGTAATTTGACGAGAATCTATCCAGAGTGTGCAGTGGAAGTTGGAAGCAGGGAGCTAAGCAGGACACTGGCAAGCTTTCCTAGGAAACGAAGAACTTTATTAGGAAGCGTCAAAGTATGAAAGTCT